GTCCCGCCCCCCCCCCAACCCAACACAGTCCCATAAACATCCCAGATGCATCTGATGAGTCCCATTTTTCAGCTGGTATTTGATTAAATTTTCTCATATTTTTCTATTCTCCTGCCCCATGCTGTTGAAGGCACTAGGCAGAGATGAATCACCAGGAAAATTTGGAGCCCATTTAGTTGGAAATGTGACAAGCTGAAAGAGCTGTTATTCTGCATGAATATTTTACACAATATTGTACAAATCATGATTTTTTTCCTACCCATTTTTAAATATTTACTTACACAAATATGACAACAATATAATATGTAAATAGTAACAATATACTAATAAAAATAATAATATCTTTTTAGTGTCTTTAAAGAATAAAGCTTTATTATTGTCCCTGGTTTAGTAAGAGTTGCCCCTTGTTTAGTGGGAGGTCCAAATTTTAGTTACAGAGTGTTTTCAAGTGGACATGCCTATTTGAAGACCTCATGGCAACAAGCACTTACAAGTAATGTCAATGGTTTTGCTTTATAAACAGTAAAATTCAAGGATTTTTAAGGGAAAGCTTTGATTTAGCACTGTCAGGTCAATTAATGTCTTACCACATTTACTTCTCCAGTGCACTGTGTGATTGGTCTGCTTTATGAAACCAAAACAAGCATTATTCCACCAGATGAAATAATTGGGACTTTTGTCAGATGCTTCTTCGGTATTTGTTGTGCTGCGTCATGATGTAGCCTTGCTCAGACCCCTCCAAATTAATCTCTGAATTCCAGAATACGTATTATTTCATTGGCTGTGTTGTTACCCAATTTTGTATAAGTCATAAGGGAATGAGATCACATCAGATCTGTTTTCTAGCAAGGATAAGGCCATCTAGGTGATCTCCTAAGTATGTATCCTCTTTTTGAGAAAATAAGTGATCTTGCAATTTGAGATCCTGGCATTCTCAAAGCAAATCTCCAGATGTAAGAGTCTAATACCTGGCAATGCCTGGTCAGAATGCACATAACAGGGCCCCTACAACTGTTATGCTTTCCGTTAGAAATATCCTTGTTACTAATATATATCAGCTAACAACCTGACATTCTCTATCTACTGTGTATAATATGCCAGGCTCAGTCACTTGTTTCAGTAGAGAAATTTTCTATCCCTATTACAACAGAGATTTGAACTCCCAGCTCCTTGGGGGTTTTTTATGCTGCCTTGCAATAATCTTCTATGAATTACAGACTTCACTGAGCCACAAATGAAAGAGAAGCAACTGAATGTCTGGCTCTGAGTGATGGTCCACATGTATGTTCACATTGGAAATATATGTTCCTCATCACTTAAAACTAGATAACTTTTTACCTTTTGTGTAGTACTGGTTCAGGGTGATACTTCAGCTATATACTCTCTTCTGTTTATATAAATGTGAACATCCTCCTTATTGGCTAAATAAGGCAGACTTCTTGCACCACTTTTTCATTTCCACTCAGCCATCTGACTGACTGGAGTGCTACACTGATGATAGTTTTTAAGCTTCATACAAAACATTGTTCTCTGTTTGTTTGTCGTCCAGACTAACCTATAGAGCTCCTTAGTGGCCTTTCCAAAGAGTTTTGTTCTCTTGTAGATGAGGACCAAATCCCTTTTTCTGGTGAGTGTGGGAAGTGGTTTTGCCACCTCAAGAGAGGAACCTGTTCTTAATGTCTACCACAGCCCTTCTTCCTAAATTTAGAAGGAGAAAATATTTGGACCTCTGCCACTTGTGGAACTTATTATTTAAAAAGCCTATGAAAGCCTCATAAATTACAAGTGAGGAAAAAAAAAATGTTTCACATGCTTAAGTGATGTGTATTAGTGTGTTGTACAGAACTCCTAAGTGTAGACAGACAGAAGACTTGCACTGGAGAAGAGCTTCTATTGAACTCTGATCCATTAATGCACACGTGCCCCAGGAGCCCATGCCTGTCTCAGTGAACACTGCCGACACCTCAGCACCATCTGCAGAACTGAATCACTTCAGCTCATGTCCTCCTAAGATATTAATTATCATGTAATGTCCTTCTGCCTTGCCTCCTCCATTGTAGCCCAAGAAAACAGAGGCAGATTTCATCTGCCAACCTGATGGTGTTTTCTGAATCTGCCCTCAAATCTGGAACTGCCTTTGGGAGCTTAGTTGGCACTCAGGCCCTGGTACAAGCACTCGTCTGTCTCCAGCTTTGGACTGCCCTGCTCCCAGTTAGATGTTGCTGCTGGCAGCAGTGTTTTCATACAAGGCACCTTTCTTAAGTGCTGCATTCAGTTCAACAAAATTGCCTGCTGTGTTGGTCATCTTTCTCTTCAGACACCTCTACTGGCAGTGAAGTGTATTCCACAACCATATAAAAGTTTCTCTTTTTGATAGTAGATACATTTTCTTCATCAACAGTAAGTTTCCCCAAGAATCTTGTAGCACAGTGCCACCCAGAAGTCCATCTATACTTGACCAAGCAGTATGCTGTCTGGCAGCCCTGAAGTCATGGCAGTACTTGGCAAAGAAGTTCTGCTCTTTTTTTTTTGCCTTTTTTTTTTTTTTTTTTTTTTGTGGGAGGAACTTAGACTTTCTACTAGGCAGCTGGCTGCTTTGAGTGTGACTAGTTGGAAATGGCCTCAGTATGAGTTTGCTGATGGCCTGTGCATTTTAGAAAAAACTCTCATTGCTGGTATGTGATGTTTCTCCTTTTTTTAAGTTGCATTGTCTCTGGTTAAGCTTCCTTCTTTCCCTTTGATTTTCTGCAGAGGAGTCTAGAATTAGTGGTAGGTGTTCTGTCTCTGATTTTGTACTTGCAAAAGCTGAAATTGTACGACTGGGCAGGTAACACTTGTGACAGCTCCTTGTCTAGGATGCCTGAAACTTACATGTGGCATGGAGAATAGTAGACATGAATCTGTAACTCTTCTTTCTCTGTTTTTGCAGACTGACAGTTTCTGTTCTTAAGGAGACTGTGTTGTAGTATACGTTGAATATTTTGATAGCACCAAGATATATTACAATGAGTTCTTGTTTGAATAGTTGTTTTATTTAGTTTTGCATAGCTGAAAGGTACAAAGCTTTTAATAACACTGAGATTTCAAGCTGTTCATTGCTAACATTTCTTGTGTTGGCACAAACTTATCATCTATTGTCTCACTGATTTCAAAAGACAGCGTTATCTTTAAAATAACTCCAGTTATTCTTAATGTCATAACAGGTAAAATGTTCCAGTCTCCAGATATCACTCTTATTGTAGAGTTCATATTTATGTTTTATAAGGAGAAACCTATTGATTGGCTCCTGGACCATATCCTCTGGGTGAAAGTGTGTAACCCCGAGAAAGATGCTGTAAGTTTTTTTTTTATTATTATTATTATTAAGCTTCTAAAATGTTTTCATGATGGTGAATGAGTTGGTTTTGGGTGAGCTGGAGGTTAGCATACTTACTGTTTATTATGGTTGCTGCATGTCCTGAGTCTTTCTTCCTACCAAGATTTTAATCTCACAAAGAATTTCAGAAAGACAGTTCTCAGAGACATTATAATTGTTATTGTTTCAGATTTTGGAGATGGATGCAGTAGGATGAAAAGCAAAAGTCTAGTTAGTTTCTGTGTGTAACAGTCCTAAAATAAAATCATTCATGTAACCCACACTGAGGCTCTTCAGAATGCCCCTGCTTGGATAGCAGCCATAGAGGAGGTTCTGAATGGGGAATAAACTTTGGATTTTGGTCCTTCATTTCTCAAGTAGCAACCTTGCTGAAAGACTGAATAAACAGGTTCTGTACAAGAATCTTGAACAGTGTTATATTTGCACAGCAGTCTCGGTAGATTTCTGGAATGGAAACAAGAACAACTGGAGAAATAGGTCTGGGTTCTTGCCGAGTCTTTTTGGTTCATGTAACATCACATACTTGCAGTAAAACTTCAGCAACCGTGTGTTGGTTTTACTAATATGATTTATTTTTTTTTAACCTTTCTCCCCTCTTTCTCCCCCTCATTTCAGAAACATTGTGATCGACAGAAGTCTAACCTACGGATACGTTTCAGGCCTTCTCTTTTCCAACATGTCGGCCTCCACTCCTCTCTAGCAGGGAAGATCCAGAAACTCACAGTTAGTAGCTAAAATTTTCCATCCTTTTCAGAGTAGGCTGATTAAATGAAAAACTGTAGCCTTTGAGAAAACAAGCATTTTCTGTTGTCTGGAATTCTCAAACATGTTGTGTGTTACTCCAGTTGGAATGAAATCTGATTTAAACTGGTTACCATCAAGTATAAGAAGTGCTAATCTCATCTTGTTTTTGTGGATTTTTGCCAGGGGATACTTTTTCTAATTTTTTTCCTTTAATAGCATGTTCATCTTACTATATCAGTACAAGATCTGATACACCCAAAAATGAGTAATATTTTCATTTTCCATTTGATGCAAGTGTTTGTTTTAAGTGTAACCACTTTACAAAAGAACATAATAAAACAAGTTATCTGACCAGCATGATGTTTGTCTTTCTTTCTATTAGGATAAAGACTTCCTGAAACCATTACTGCATAAAATCCACGTGAATCCACCTGCAGAGGTTTCGACATCTTTAAAAGTCTACCAAGGGCATACGCTAGAAAAAACCTACGTAGGGGAAGATTTTTTCTGGGCTGTCACACCAGTTGCTGGGGATTATATTCTATTTAAATTTGACAAACCAGTCAATGTAGAAAGGTTAGTAATTATTTGCCTTTGGTCTCGTATCTAAAGCTGCTTGTTTGCCAAGACTGCTTGAAGAATGAACTTGGGGCTGTCATTATAAATGAAAGTGAAATGACGTAGGGTCTTTGGAGTTCAACTGAAACTATGATCATTAGTGTCTTCCCTCTAATTCTTCTACTACTGTAAAATTTGTCTTGCTCTTTTTTAGTATTGTTTTTTTTAATTAATCTGGAGCCTTTTTGATAAATGCAATTCAAAGCCAATGCTTCTCTGCAGTTCATAAGAGAATTTAAAAGAAGCCAATTTGATTCTATTTGTATTTGGTTGCTCTGCTTCTAATTACAGAGCAATTGTACAGCGTGGTGTGTGGTACAGTATGTTGTGCCCTGCAGCCTTGGTCCCTTGATTGTCCAGATCAGAAATGTTGCTGGAGCGTATCACGATGTCCCCAGACCTGAAAGCTGGGAACTCTGAAGGGTAATTTTTTTAGATGTAGCTTTAGGACTTGAAAAAAGTCACTGTGCTAAGACTCCAAGCTGACCTATTTAAAAAACCTAAAATATAATGGGGAAAAAAAAAGGGAGGGGGGTCCCCTTGAAATACAAATGGCCATGATTTGTTAGTGTAGTTATCCTTTAGTTTTATTGAGACTCATTTGCTGCTTCGCTTTTTATTGGCTTGCCAACACAGAAGTCCAGAACTTCCTTTCCTCCTTTCTTCACATACCTTATGTGTTCTTTTCAGGCTAGTACCTATAGCCTGGTAGAGCAAAGTTTCTTTGGATCAATTTTCTTTGGATCAATTTGACTGGATGCTTTTCTTGTAAAACAGCCCTTTTTGCAGTCCTGAACTGAATCCAATTAGTCAACTTCCATGCCTTGGTACATAACCAAAGGCTAAGTCTTCACCTTTGCTTAGTGCAACAGTGAGGATCAATAGTTTCCTTGTTACTATGTTGTTCCAAACTAATCTGATGTATGAAACTCAAGTTTGTCATTTGAGATGTCAGATTACTCTCTCAGTTGATTGCTATACTTGAAAAGACTTTCCTGGTTAGCTTTCCAAGATGCATCTGTTGAAGAATATGACTGCCATACCTCCTTGGATTAAAGGCAGAATCTTTTTTTATCCTGTGCCAATAGTTTAAAAAAAATACGTATTTCTCAACTCTGATGTATGAATTAATTGATTTGTTTTTGATCAAATTTTACTTTTCAAAGTTATGAAGTAACATTATCCAATGTATGTGTGTGTGTTTGGGGTTTTTCAAAAGAATTATATGCATCTACATCATGAATATGGTAACTGTAAACAGCAAATGTTGATCTTGGGTGGATATGGGTGAGTCAAATGTGCAATGGCAATTTTGGAAACGTTTGCTAGCAGGCATCATAGGTCAACACTGTTATTTAAAAAATAGCTTGCACAGGTCTGAAGAAAATACTTTTTTCATACGTGTTATCTTAATTGTGTGGGAATTAGGGGAACAAGTAAATACTAATTATCCGTGCAAAAGGTGGGAAGATAGTGTTCATTATTGTGCCCTGCAAAATTGTAGCTAGACCTGAAGTAGTTACATTTACCTGCTGTATTAAGAACAGTCCCAGCAGCAGAGGATGATATGATTATTTTTGTTGTTGTTATTTCTGGTTATTGAAGAAATGCATTTAGGTTTAGAAGAAATGGAATATTTTCTATTCTGTTGCTTCCTCAAAGAAGGTCCACGAATTAGAACGATGCTACTTGACTTAAGTTGAACATTGTTTGAACTATAATTGTAAACCATTTAAAAGTTTGTTATGAATTTAGCCTCTATTGCCAAAGGGTTGTCAAAAATGGAGTATTTTACCTTTCTGAAGTCAGTGGCTGATTGGGGCTACAGGTGTTGCATATTCAAATTGTTGAGGACTTGTTTTTGTTTGTCAACTTAACTTCAGCAGCAGCAAATTTTGATAGATGGAGGTCAAGTGGAGCCATGATGTTTCCTGATATTTCAAGGGTGCTCACTGAGGCAGTAAAAAGTAAAACTGGGACTTATAGGTGGGAACACAGAGAAGGGAAAATGGACCAAGCATTAGGAAAACTTACCTTTTGGGGAGATATATCAGATTGTGGGAATTAAGAGTAGAAAAGACACTTTTGAAAGCTGTCTTGTGTTTGTGAAGGGAACAGCTTTTTCCTTTTTTTTTTTTTTAATTGAAAAGCTCTTTGAATTTACAGGAAATTTTGCCTGCCAAGTCAGTTTGAGGTGTAGCTGCTTAATAACTCCCATAATAAATTCTTGATAAACAAATTATTTAATGGAAATATTGTCCACAACTCTGAATGAATGGCAGGTCTGTTACATGGTGACAGAGCACTAACTTGTTCCTATAGTTTATTTTTCCATGCCAAACATTTTGCTGAACTGAATTTAAATTTTCTGTTGAGTATAGCAGTTCAGTAATTAGCTTTCATTAAGTCTTCAAATATTTCATTTTTGAGATCTCATAAATTGTCAGGGATACCACTGGCAAGGATCTCTTAATAGTTTAAAGTGAGAACTGAGCTCACTTTGCTGAGCAAAATAACATCTGTGGCTATTTTGTGCAAGACCTGCTTGGCAGATCCCTGCTGAATATTGAACAGTCAAATAAGTGGTGCTTGTTCTAAATTGCACCTGGAGAACAGGGATGTGTCATTTGAAATTGTCTAATGCTCATTTTAGTAACAGCTCTTGTACTGAATCTTTGTAATTTTTTTTTTTTTTCCCCAAGCAAAGAACTCCAGCCACAACACTGATGTCCCTTAATAGTAAGCTAGGATCTCATTCTTATTTTTGCAATATGAAGATACATATCTCTCTTTTGGTAGCATATCCTTGAGAATGAAAGTAGATCCGCTGACTTTCCTCTTAAAAACAAATTGAACAACAGTGTGGAAGGTGTGGTTTGGTTTTGGTTTGTTGTTTGTTTGGGTTTTTGTCCTGGTTTTGCTAGGATAGAGTTAATTTTCTTCTCAGTAGTTAGAATAGCTGTGGCTTAGTTTCAGTGTAAGACTTGCTTTGAGAACATCATTGATAAATGCACTGATGTTATTAGTTGCTGCTGGGGCTCAAGGCCACCGTGTTGGCTGGTTCACAGCTGCATTAGGACTGGGAGGGGGAAGCACAGTGAATAGCAAAACCCAAAACTGGCATTTGGATGTGCCAATGAAATATTCCATATCATATCCTGTCATGTTTAGTGTATTATCCAGGGCTGACCAGAAAGCGGGGGGGAGGGGGTGGATTTCGCACGGGTTTCCTCTCGGTCTCTCACTCTGCTGGGATTGTGGTTTTGCTTCGGGATTGTTGCTCCTCTGGGATCGTTATCCGGGAATGGGCCGGGCTTATCAGTGGGTGGTAAGCAGTTGCGCTGGGTTATCACTCATTTGCATATCTTGTTACTGTTATCATTATCACTACTATTTTAATATTAGTTGTTTAGTTGGGGTTTTTTTAAGTTTTGTTTTATTTCTATTATTAAACTGTTTTTATCTCACCCTACAAGCCTCCTAATCCTTGCCCCATCCCTCTCCCCTGTCCCCTGGGGGTGGGGGAAGTGGGTGAACGGCTGTGTTGGTTGCTAGCCAAGGGCCAGTCCAGTCAAACTATCACAGTTTTTTTAAAATAAATGGATGGACTGTTTTCTAAATGCTCAAAACGGCCTACATTATAAAGATAAGAAATACTGAATTTCTGTTCCCTTAGGTTGTTATATAATTATTGAAATCCACTTTGCTATTTTGGTAGGTACACTGTTGTTCCAACCACACATTTCATTATTAAAACTGATAGTTATATTTAAGAGTTTCTTTATGAAGCATACATTATTACTACTTTAATGATAGTACTGAATGTAAATTCATTTTCCTCACTATAAATAACAGATTCAAGATACTTATTTTCTTTACTAGTTACTCTTTTTATTCAGAGATGTCAGTGAGGAATGTTGTACCCAAGCAGCTCATTGTGGAGAGCTTTTGACTTTCGACATTGCTTTGTTTGAGGGTTTTTTGTGTGTAGGAAGCTCTGAAGTACTGAGGGATGAGTAGTGAATCTTGAACAGAGGTAATAAATTTTGAATGTGATCTTAGTTTAAAAAACAAACCAAACCAAAAAATAAACGCCAAAACACATCATAGAAAGGTGTTCCATTGTGGCACTTAAGTGATGCTGGTGTCCATCATCATCACAACCATCTCTTTTTTGACTGAGTTTCAGAGCCCTCCCTATAGATGTGATTGGCACAATTCAGATGTTGTTTTCAAAGAACATGTGCACTAGTTACATTGAGACAGCCCTTGGAAGCACATAACCTATAGCTATTTTAATTAGATTATGTTTACACATGTCAGCTTTTCTGCAATAGGAATTTAGAATTAGTTAATTATCCATCCTCTGGGATGCAGGTCCTCCTGTGGGTAGAGAAATAGAAGATGAAATGCATTACAAAGGAAAAAAAGACTTTTCTAACAGCTTTCCAAAACTGGCAGTAAAATGGAACTCTCTCATCATTTGCTTTTGCACTTAAACCACTTAAAACCTAGGGAACTGCAAAATCGTTTGGCTTTTAGATTAATACAGCTGTAACTTGTCTGATGTGTGAGCTGCTTGTTCCCAGTCACTGTTCAGTGTAGAAACTCTCTTTCGGCACTGTGCAATACATTTGACCTTTCTTGGGCAATTTTAGGTGGAATAACACACGCATGCACAGTGTGTGATTTAGAAATAATCTTTGTTCTGATTCTAAAGATCTGATATAGTTTATTAAAGTTCAATGTCATCTTAATTTTATTAAGATTTAATGGTGTGTCAGTTGATAGGAAATATTTGAAAGTCTTAATTTATTATTCTAAATGTTTTGGTGTTTGTCAGTACATTTCAGGTGGGATAAGATTTTTAGTGTATATAAAAAAAGAGAATTTGAGAACTTTGGTTTCTGTGTTTACATAAGCTTCTGTAGTAATAAGTAGAACATCCTCAAATGGAT